CAAAATGGTCCATGTACCTAACAGTAACAATAAGAAGAATGGTGCCCTGAGAAAGTGTCGCGTGAGTACTAAGCACAAGGTTAGAAAAGAAACAAGTACATCATGTGTGCAGGCTGTGGTGTGGCTCTCTGCAAACTTTCATGTTTCAATGTTTATCACACGAAGAAAAAGTAATAAAGAGGTATGGAAAGGCATTTATTGCATAAAATATTGTATTTTAATTAGTTCCTGAAAATTTCGTTTTTAAAAACCAATTTTTGTTGAAGTTGTTTAGGAAAAAGTAACTACATGCATTTTAGCAACATAAGATTTAAAGGGCCTGCCAGGACAGGGGTGGGATTTAAATACCCTTCGCGCCAGTCAAAGAGTTAAGTGGAGGAATTGTTTTGGAAGAGACTGTGGACCTGTCGTCTGACAGATTGCTGCTGCTGCTGATGATGATGATGATGATGAAAATGATCGCATTGTATGTTAGAAGTCGGCATAATGGCTGCTGGTTAAAAGAATGGGATTTCTTTGGATGATCACGTTTTCAGCCCTTTTCATCCATTCAGATTTCGGGAATTGGAAAAAAAAATGTTTTGAAGATCAAAAGGTTTTGTCATATAGAATATAATTACAAGCAGATTAAAAAACAACTGTCTGTTTCCTGCATGTTATGGTTTGCATGTAGTGGGAATTGGCAATATCAGGATTCCAGAGCCCTGCAAGTCAGCTGTGCCCCCTGTGTACCTTCTGATTGCCTAAACCTCATGTGTTCTTTTTCTTCGGATTATTTTGTGTCCATAAGCGATGTAGAATAGCAGTGACATGTTTTGTGTATTCTTTTGTGACTGTGACGTGAAAATGCCATTCAGGCAGAAAAAACTCCATGTATTTTATATCGTGATGTTATCTGAATGTTTGCAGTCAGTTTCTTTAATTGTGTTAGTTATAGTCTGTTGAAGAGCAAAATCCCAATGTCCCTGCGATACCCAGTTCCTGAGATAAATTTTGGTGTGTTATCTCAAGCTTTGCCTGCTGGCAGACAATAATCCCTACATGGCTGATAACTATACTGGGTCTGTTACATGCTGATAAAACTTTGTACTTGAGGCTTAGGTGGAAGATAAGTGCAACCTGATTGTTATGTTGAAGCAGTGGAGCTGCCATCCTCACAAGGCTGCCTGCTACACCCAGAGTGTGTGATGAAGGTAGTGATGAAAATACCCGACTCAGTTTCATGTGCTGTGGAGTGACAAGGGTGCACTAAATCAGTTGTTGATGTGGGCCTCAATATTCCTCTAGCCATGCCTTCATGCCTTCGGTGATGGAACCCAGGGAAGTGAATGGATTCTGCTAGCTGTATGCCTGAACAGAGACCCGGAGACAAAGTGCTTAGTACAGAGCCTCCTGTGCCACTTGGCACTTCCTGAGAGTGTCAAGGTCATGGGAATTCTGTAGTCACATATGCAGTACGTTATGCAGGATGTGTCTCATGACAGGTATAACAAACTGGGAGAATTGCTTTAGGATCTGAGTCTCACAGTTCATGTGTCCTGCAGTGGGTTGTGTTATGGTGCTGTCAGCATTTTGACTGTAGTGTCAGACAGCAATACGATGGATGAATTAGAGAGGTTTATGAATTAAATGGTTCTTCTTTCTGGTTGCAGCATATGCCATACATACATGTGTCCCATTCTAATTCCCTGGAGGAACTGAGGAAATTCACAAAATACCTTAGTCACTATAGCTGGTGTGTAAGCCAAGATTCAGACTGAGCATCTTGAGCATTCATGCTGTGTCAGCCTCAGTTGCTACTAGCAAAGCTTGGTAGTGAACCTTGTTGTGGGCAAGATCAGTCCACTCCTACCCCTTTGGGTAAAAAAAAAGTAAAGCTGTCCCTGTAACAGGCTGTGGAGGCACATAGTGTTGTGAGATGTCGAGGCACCCACATTTTCTAGACAATCGGCTCGCAGATGGTGGTGAGGTTGTCAGCCTTATGTGCTGGCCACCCTTTACCCCAGGAAGATTCCTGGTACCCATTCCTGTTAGAGGCTGAGTCGACCCTAGGATCATAGTGCAGCTGGAAGGATTAGGTCAATTGAAAACTCCAGTGACCTCATCAGGAATCGAACCTACGATCTTCTGGCATGTTACATAGTGTTTCAGTCAACTGCACTACCAGTTGCACCATGTAAATTTGGAATGGGAACATATTTAGATCATGACATTTCAGGGAAAGGATCATACCAAATGAAAGTGACGTTCGGTATTGACAACCATGAAGGAGCCTGAGCCTGATTCTCTGATTATATCTGTTGGTCACAAAAAGCAACTTCCGAGGAGACTTGCCCAGTTTCACTGGTTGAAGTGTAAAGTAGGCAGGTGAGGTTTTGTTTGTGCTTATGTGAAGTCTGCTGCTGATAAGCTTATCTGAGTGGAACATCTTGAACTTTGATCCTAGCTGCATGACTCCTCAATCTTGATTACCCCATTGGTGTCTGGAATCCATCATTTCGTAGCTCAACACAAGTACCTTTTGCATGCCCAGTCCTGTCCCATGCTTATCCTGTGAGGCACAGGTTGACTCCTTGCTGTCTGTCCTGTAGCTCTCTGAGGTGTGAACTAGTCAGGGATGTGGATTAGATTGAGGCTGTTGAAGAATATTCTTTCCTATTGAACCACCCTTTGGTCTCTGTTTTGTTAATAGGTTGAGCTATGTGGTGTCTGTCAGTGGAAGCTGTGTTTAGGGTGATGCTTTAGCTCATCAGACTTGGGAACTTACACAGAATAGTTCTCACCTGTGTAAGTGAAGTGTGTTGGTGCACTACAGAAAGTTTGTCCTTAGGGTTGTGGGTTGATGAGATGGCCCACAGATATGGATGTTATTAATTAATTCTGTCCAGTGAGGCTGATGGTTTTTTCTTTTTAATCTTTTATCCTTTACACGTTTCAGTCCTATAGACCATCTTCAGAAGGATATCCGTACAATTAGAAACCACTATTACAATATGTTTTATGAATATTAATATGTACATACAATGCCATCATAAAACAATGTACAAATCTAATGTTCTTAAACAACTACAGCGGCTTGTACTATCACATTAAAATACTTATTACAGCTAAACATACTAACTGTAATAAATATTTTAATGTGTTGCTAGAAGCCACTGTAGTTGTTCAAAAAACATTATGTTTGTACATTGTATTATGATGACATTGTATGTACAGGGTGCGTCAATGAATCAGGCGATTTTAAAAATGTTATGAACTGCAAACTATTGCATTTATTTGGTTTTAACACATATGAATAAAGTGTGAAAGCATTTGGTTTTCCTAAATTAACTCACTGAAAACGGAAGTCCATTTCCCAAAAATAACATCGACAGATAACCACCATTCCGCTGTAGGCACTTGGTAAGTTTCTCCTTAAGTCACTCATTATTCTTTGCAGCATCTCTATGGGAACTCATTCAACGTCTTCCCAAATTCGATGTTTCAACTTCTGAACTGTGTGGGGTGCTGGAGCTTTGAAAACTTGGGATTTCAGATACCTCCAGAGAAAAAACTCGCATGTGGAAAGATCAGGTGACCTGGCTGACCATATGATGCCCAATATCTGGAGATAACATGGTTAGGAGGCAGGTTATTCACAACTGCCATGGAAACTCATGTGGTGTGGCACCTAGCCCTATTTTGCTGGGAAAATGTTTCTTCCTCGACTGGAAGACGAGATGGTGCAGGAGCTAAGAAGCTCTCCAACATGTGAACGCAACATGGTCCAGTCACAGTTACAGACCTTTCCCACTCATCTTCAAAGAAGTAGGGGTCAATAATTGCAAACGAAGATATCGTGCACCATACTGTGACTTTGGAACTGTGAAGTGGTCTCTCATAAATTTCTTTGGGGTTTGTGGCTGACCAGTAGCAGAAATTTTGCTTGTTAACAAACACCAACAAATGGAAATGAGCTTCATCACTCATCAGTAAGGTGCTAACGACATCTTGGCTTTGATTAATTGATTGCAAAAGAAGTCTGGCAGAAATCAACTCTGTGTCCATAGTCGTGTTCGTGTAGTGCATGAATAATTTGAATTTTATAAGGGTAGAAGTGGAGATCTTTGTGCAAAATCCATTGAACGCTGGCTTCGGACAGCCCAAGTGATGTAGCATGGTGACCCGCAGACCGGCGTGGACTTTGTTCAGTGGCTTCTCTCATTGCCGCTATATTCTTGGGTGTACGTTTTTACGCCACCACCTTTCTTCTTTAGTGTAGAACCAATAGCCTCAAAGTTTTGAACCCAGGTCTTGATGGCATGAGTAGATGGAACAACATGATTGCAATGAATACCAAACTCTCTTCAAATTTCACACTGAGCAATCACGAAACTGTCACCATTTTTGTAAAATGCTTTCACAGCAAAAGCACGTTATGCTCCAGTCCACAGCTCCATTGCAACTAAAATGTTTTGAAGTAGGCTGCTGGGTGGCAGTTGTGGCATCCTCCCCATTCTAGCCAACCCAGGAAAAAACACCACTGCCAAATCGCCCGATTGATTGACACACCCTATACAACATATAAAACATATTGTAATAGTGGTTTCTAATTGTACTGATATCCATCTGAAGATGGTCTATAGGACCGAAACATGTAAAGGATAAAAGGTTAAAAAGAAAAAACATCAGTCACGCTGGACGGAATTAATTAACCTTTTGTAATATTGTTAGTGTGACAGACCAGAATGAAACAAATCACACAGAAGTGTGTTCAGTATGGTCTTCCAGTTTTGTGTTTGGGCTCACTCAGGACATTGTCCACAATGGTTTTGAACACAGGGCTATTCTGTGTACCACTAAAATATGTGTTGACAAGATTGAATTATGTATAAATTGAACAACATGAACTCTCGGTTCATTTCCCATAAGAGGTGTGGAAACTAACAAAAGGCAAAGACATTGTACAGTATTGTTGAGGTCATGCTGTTTTTGCTGACAGTAGCTGTGCCTTTGTTTAGGTTCGACTGGAAAGTATTGGTGCAGAAGACATCGTTGATGGAAACCCTCGTCTCATTCTTGGCCTTATATGGACCATTATCTTGCGCTTCCAGATACAGGAGATTGAGATCGATGTGGTGAGTAGTGTGACAGTCTGTTATCTGTTCGAAATACTCATACTGCATTTTGCAGTGTTACGTAGAACTTAAGGCTCCTGGTTTATTTGGTATGTGCATTTGTTATGAAGTAATAATTATGTGGTTTAGTGGTTTGCATTTGTATAGAACGTTTCCTTGCTCAGATTTCTGCATCTTTAGAGTGTTGTATTGTTGCCCCATCTGTGATTTGCAATGTTCTTCCCCCACATAATTTTCTGGTATGTCACACACTGTCCACAAGATCAGCGTTGTCCGCATGTTGTTTGCCGTTCAGTCTCATTGACACTGATACTGTGGTATTACTGAAGGGAAGGGTGGTGGGGGGAACGTAGATCAGTCAGTTGTTGGAGGCCGTCAGTGTGGGTGCGTTCAGATGCAGGCTGGTTATGTCTGATTGGTTTCCTTCACGCTTGAGGCCACAGCAGTGACATTATATCTGCAAATGTCAGTAAGAGTAGCAGACTGAATCGTGTGTTGGTCTGTTGGCAGGATGAGGAGAATGAGAGCAGTGAGAAGAAATCTGCAAAGGATGCACTTCTGCTGTGGTGTCAGCGTAAAACCAACGGGTACCCGGGTGTCAACATCCAGGACTTCACAGGTACCACCTCGTCAGAGAGCCCTCAGTTCACATGGCATGGTCCCAGGGACATGAATGAGTGACTTGATTTTGGACCAGCATGCGTGTACAATTTTGTTTGTGTGTGCAGGTTCATGGCGTAGTGGTCTTGGGTTCAATGCCCTCATCCATGCCCACCGCCCTGACCTTATCAACTTCAGTGCCCTGCAGCCGTCTCGTCATATTGAGAACCTCAACAATGCTTTTGATATAGCCAACAATGAGCTTGGTATCCCGCGTCTCCTGGATGCAGAAGGTAGGCAGACTCTTTATGGATAAAAGTTCAAAGAAGCACTAAGCTTTGTGTTTAAAGTTTAAGTTATGCTCACTCTTCTCAGGATCTCACAAGGAATCGGGATTGGGGAGGAGAAGCTTTTGTAACTGTGATGGCAAACATTACTGAACACAAAACAGGAGGGTTCAGTGAGACATCTGGTAGAGTGGCGGTGTCATTTTGTGTGTCTCTGAGTTCAGATGTCAGGTGATGTTTGTGTGAGCAGAAGTGAAACTTGAAACCTGCTGTTCCAGATGTGGACCAGAGTCGTCCAGACGAGAAATCTGTCATCACATATGTGGCTTCCTACTACCACACGTTTGCCAGGATGAAGAATGAGCAGAAGAGTGGCCGTCGCATTGCCAATGTGAGTACATCACTGCATGTATTTGCAGCAGGTGAGACCTTTGACAAATGGACAGACAGAAGTCACAGTGTGATTGTGTCCTGGTACCTCACATGATCTGATCGCTTATATGCAGATTGTGGGGCAGATGATGGATGCGGACAAGATGAAGGTGCACTATGAGCACCTGACGAGCGATCTGTTGGAGTGGATTCGTATGAAGGTATTGGAGCTTGAAGACCGCAGCTTTCCAAACTCTCTGGAAGGAATCCAGAAGGAACTGCTGCGCTTCAAGCAGTATCGCACAGTGGAGAAGCCACCAAAGTGAGTACAGAGAATGGCGAAATATCCCCACTGCTTAACATTACTTTGTGCACAAATGGCTGTTGTGGGCTGCAATTGAGTGGACAGAAGATGCTGAAGGAATGACAACACTGCATTTGTTGCCTTTATTTTTACAAGATGGGAGATTGAGAGGTTTAAAATGAGCAGTGTGATCATGTGCCCCATATGAAAGTGACTGCTTAGGTGATGAAGGTAGATGGTAATATTCAAATGGTGTGTAACATGAACTGTGTTAATGTTGGTGATGCTGGTTCCTGTCTTGTAGGTACAAGGAGCGCAGTGAGATTGAGGCACTCTACTTCCACATTAACACCCAACTCAAGTCCCTCAACCAGCCGGCATTTGCACCTCCAGATGGACAGCTGATACACGACCTGGAGCGCAGCTGGGAGGGGCTGGAGCATGCAGAGCATCGACGAGAAGTTGCACTGCGCCAGGAACTGCTGCGCCAAGAGTGGCTTGAGCAGCTCAATTACAAATTTGAGAGAAAGGTGACTGACAAACTATGGACATGTAGCCTCTATTAAGATATGAATTCATGGAGGTTTTTGGCATGAACGTAAGTGATGTTTGTTACTTGCGACTGGCCGTGACACACTAACCACTTCTTGTTGTTGGAAGTGAAGTGTTTTGTTGAGACTTTTAGACTGTACTGTCTGGGTTCAGCTGTTCTGTATCATTGAAATGGGTGACCAAGTAATGAGAATGAGATGCGCTGGGCATCGCGAGAGTGATGAGTGTGACAGTTAGAACATCATTGAAATGGGTCTTATGTTTGTTCCAGAGTGTGCTTCGGGAGGGATACCTGAAAGAGATGATCCAAGTGCTATCTGACCCTCGTTATGGGAGCAACCTCACCCAGGTGGATGCCACTGTTAAGAAACACGAGGCCATAAGTGCTGACATACTGGCAAGGGTATGTGATGAGTCAGAGGTGTCCTGACTTCTCTGGTGGAATGGAGAAGCCCAGTGTAGTGAAGTCTCCCATTTAAATTTAAATGTGTGCAGTGGGTAATACTGACTGGCCAATAAACCAAATGAAAACCATAGACACAGGATTTAATTATGTGGTGTCTCAGCTGGTGATGTTACAGGGCATTCAGTCAAGGAGGAACTTCACAGCATTGCTGACCAGGCCCATCATTTCTCAGATTGCTGCTGTAACTGCTAATAACAGAATGAGTCATTAGCGCTGTTAAATGCACTCACTCGTTGGCATAGAGTGGATGGAATGTTTCTCCGTGACTGTTCCCTCACATAAGTTTCTGTACATGCACACATTATAAGAATAACAATAAGATAACACAAACTTCTTCTTATTCTGTGGTGCAACAGCCCGATGTTGGGCCTTGGCCCCCCTTACCAAGCCCCTCCATTCCCCTCTGCCCTGCGCTGCTCTCTCCCAGTTCCTTACACCCATTCACTTCTTCGCATCTTCTTCCACCTCCTCAATCCATCTAGTTCTTGGTTTCCCTGCATGTCTCCTGCTGCCTGTTGTACTATATAAACTTTCTTTAGGATACGCTCCTTATCCATTCTCTCTACATGCCCAGCCCATTGCAATGTTTTTAGCTTTATTGTCACAGAGATCTTTTTCTCCTTATGTAATTTGTATAGCTCTTTATTATTTCTTATTCTCCATATCCCATTCTCTTTTATTGGTCCATAAATTCGTCTTGGAATTTTCCTCTCGAATGAATTGATGACCAATTCCTCTTTCTTGTTTAGCGTCCAGCCATCACATCCATAATAAAGCACTGGCCTTATCATTGTTTTATATATTTTCGTTTTAATCGCTCGGTGTATACCCTTTGATCTAAAAACTGATAGTAACAAGAAATACGCATTATTCGCTAGTTTTATTCCTCTTGTTATTTCATGATTTTCCTCTCCATCTTTGTGGCATTTCCATCCTAAATATATGAAGTCTTCAGCTATTTCTATCCCGTCCCCTTCCGTGTTAATTTCTCGAGTTTGCCTTGGATTCCTTCTGGAGTGTATCAGCGTTTTAGTTCTATTTACATTCACCTCTAAGCCAGTTGCTTTTGCTATGGTTTTTATTTCTTTATATGTCTCCTTCATTGCTCTTAGTGATCTCGATACTATAATAATATCATCCGCATACGCCATTATTTGCATTTGTTTATACACTACTGTGTTCCTTGTGTCTACATTACATTTCCTCACTATATATTCCAATACCAAATTAAATAGTGATGGTGCCAAACTGTCTCCCTGTTTTCATCCTTGATTTGTCTTAAAGCATTCCATTAACCGGTTCTGGATTTTAACTTGATTGATTGTCCCTGTCATGGTTAAGGTAATTATTCTACTTAGGTTTGTTGGAATACCACAAGTGGACATAATCATCCTTAATTTCTTCCTTATTATTGTATCATATGCTTGTTTAAAATCTATGAAGCATAGGTAAATATCTGTATTAAATTCCCAGCATTCTCTGTTATTTGTCTCAGGGTGAATAAATTGTCTATTGTTGACCTATTGGGTCGAAAGTCTGATTGATATTCTCCTATTATTTTTTCTATATATGGATCCAGTCTCTTTTCTAGTATGCTTGTTAGAATTTAAATGCTGTCAGTAGTAATGATATACCTCTACAGTTACTACATGTTAATTTATCCCCTTTTTTAAATATGGGGCATATAACACTGTTTCCCCAATCTTCTGTTATCTTTTCTTCTTCCCACACTTTATTTATAATTCTATGGAGTACTATTATTCCTACTTGTCCTCCTGCCTTCAATAATAACGTGAAACCACTCCCCATCAGTCATGAACAGAAGCTTTGGATCCACAATTTCATCGTGCACATTTAGCAGCAGGCACTTGCAAAAACGAATTCTTGCTTCATAATCTGGTTGTTTCAGCTCAGGCACAACTGTTATTTTATATGTGTGAAATTTGATTAATTTTGTGGCTGTGAAAGCAGATCCTAGCAAAACACTGGTTTCCTGTGCTAAGCATCTTAACGATTTTCAAGGACTGATCTGTAGTCATGCCTCAGTATCCCAAATTTTTCTTCAGTCAGCACAATCCTCTTTGATTGCTTCTTCATGTCACACACTGAACCTGTGGCCCACCACTTTTTCACAAGCTTGGATACACACAAGTTTGTGGGAACTGGCTAATCAGGATATTTACTACGATGAAACTTATGGATACATTTTCTGTAAGTTTTTCCTTGCAGAAATCTCGACAATAAATACATGCTGTTCAGTAGTGAACTTCATTTCAGTATAAATGTTGAGCGCCTATCGACATCTCTAACACTGACTATTAATGCATCTCAACTGCAATGACAAGATCACGCCACCTGACGGCCCATGTTTATTAGCACTAACGACTCATTCTGCTGTCTGCAGTTACAGCAGCAATCTCTGAAGAATTTTGGGCCCATTAGCAATATTGCAAAGTTTCCTCCTTGACTGAACATTGATTGATGTATGGTGAGGTGACAGTGATGAACAACTTGGGTGTGAGATCGATGAGATCATGTGGGTAATTTTAAGGCACCTCAAGATTGAAGTGCTTGGAGTCATACTCAAAGTTGAGGTTCAGTGTGAGATAAATAGAAAATTAAATCCTGTCAGTGCTTCCATTCAAAAAGCATTGTTTCCATGAATATTTTTCGGTCTACTAATAATATGGGCTGCCCCTTATACCTGGAGAAAGTTCATAAAGCAGAATTTTGAAATCTGTATTGCAAATTATCACAGGCACAATTTTATATTTGAGAGTTTTGTTCCTGAAAGACCTTAAAGGATTAATTTGATTTGTTTCATTCTGGTCCATCACACTAACAAATTACAAAAACCAAACAACTCCGTCCAGTGTGACTATTGAAGTTTTTACTACTTGAAAACTTAATGCCCTTACATGTTTCGGTCTCTATAGACCATTATCAGAGGGAACATTGATACTTTTTTGGAAACTACTATCACAATAGGTGTTTTGAGTGTTAAAATACATATACATACATTGTTTGTAATGCACAGTATATACAAAATCCAACTTTCCACAACTACAGCAGCTTTCTTGGTATATTAAACTTTTAAAAATATTTAGTATTGTGCATTACAAACAGTGTATGTATATGTATTTTAACACTCAAAACACCTATTGTGATAGTAGTTTCCAAAAAAGTATAGATGTTCCCTATGATAATGGTCTATAGAGACCGAAACATGTAAGGACATTAAGTTTTCAAGTAGTGAAAACTTTAATAGTCACACTGGACGGAGTTGTTTTGTTTTTGTAACCTTAAAGTGTAAGATATCTCCAGTTTTGCTGCCTGAAATGAAATGTATTATATTATACTATAGCCACTGGATACCTTGTTTTGCCTTAAGAATACCTATACAAATTGTTGAAATAGTTAAAAGAGCAGTTAAAATTTATGCGAGATATACCCCACCATGAGCTGTAAAGTGAGCTGTCTGGTAGTAGGACATGCACTATAGTCTGTAGCTGGAGAAGGTAACTGCTTGGACATCCTAGAAGAACGTGGAAGGGCCATAAGGAAATGGATCTTAGGGACATTCGTTGCAACCGTATGAAGTGGACTGAATGGAAATTATGTAAGATTTTGATATTGCCATGGTTCTGTTGGCAGAGTTAGTTGCAATTGGTTTATGGTGTCATGATGTTGCATGTTGCAGGAGGAGCGGTTCCATGACTTGACAAACATGTCAGATGAGTTGGTGCGTGAGAACTATCACAGTAAGGAACGTGTGACACAGCGAGAGGAAGAGGTCCTGCAACGCTGGCGAGAGCTGTTACAGCTGCTTGAAAAACACAAAACTAACCTGACGATGCTGTGTGGATTGATGGCCATGTTGCGAGAGATAGAGACCGTAATGGCCACTATTGCAGACCTGCACGTGGGTACCTCAGACCTATTCTGAAACTTCTGGCAGTTAGGGGCACATGTATTGCCCTCGAATTAACCTTGGCCTGCTTGGTGTGGCAGTGACTCTGAATTGGAGAATGTAGTGATGAAGTCTCATGGAGACAGGCTTTGTATACTAGTGGGTAGCTGTTATCACTTTGAAAGTTTCATTTAACAATTCTTTGATGTAGGGAAACTTCCAGTCAGAAGATGTGGGCCCACACCTTCTTGCAGTGGAGGACCTGCTGCAGAAGCATAGTTTGGCAGAGCTGCAAGTGACTTCACTGGGGGAGACACAGCGTCGGCTTGGTCGCCAGGCACAGCAATATGTGAATACTGGCCATCGAGAGGTGCCACTGCTGCAGAAGCAGCTCAGCCAGCTCACCTCTGCATATGACAGGTGAGCTAGAACCCCCCCCCCCCAATAAGATGATACACATTCTCATACTGATTCTAAGTGATCTTATTCCAAGAGGTTTCCAAACAAAGTTTTTTTTATCCATTTTCATCTTTGCTGTGTTGTTCCTGTTCTTCTCATCTCAGTCTCTTTGATGTGACTGCTTTAAATGTCCCTGAGTGAAGAATACAAATTTTGAAAGTGCTCATTATATGATTTTCTCATTCTTATTGTGCATGATGACTTGTGGTTGCATGTATTGTTCGTGACGTGTGGCAGCCTTGTAGAGAGCAGTAAGGCTCGGCGAATCCGGCTGGAGGATGCGCGCAACTTCTTCCAGTTCCTGCAAGACCATGAAGAGGAGGAGTCTTGGCTTGTGGAGAAGCAACGCATCTGTAAGGCGGGCATCTCAGCAAAGGACTTGCGAGCCGTTCTAAGATTACAGCAGAAACACAAGGTACACACACACATAATTGTCATATATAATAGCATATATGGCTTAAATTTTCACGAATACATGGTTTGCATAGATGGGGTGTGCATCTGTTTTAACCTCTGACCCAAGCACTGTTATAAATTCTTAAAGTGATCTGAAGGCACTTCAGTGGTCATAACTTCACATTCTGTCCTTGTTAGTGTAACTTCTCATTACAGGTGCTGTTGTAAGACGTATCAGATTGTCAAAACATGCAATGTAATCTCAGTACCAGTACATAACCTTAAAAACAAAGATACCCTGCCTTGGTTTCCAGACCACTGCCTGAGACAGCGGACGCTATAGTGGGATATATACATTCAGCTTCACTGTTTTATAGACTGTATGCAGCTGGATGGAATATAATTCCTAATATATCCATTTAGTTACCATGCATTGCTCCATAGCCTCACTTGCTCAGAATTACTGTGTGTTCCCAGCGGTAGATAGATCGTTAAAACAAGAGCCAGTAATAATGTTCTATTTGTAAATTTAATTGTTTGCTTACTGTATTTATTTGTGTAATTTATGCACTTCTGTATATGGACAAGAAACTTAAGGGAAAAAAGTTAAGTATTGCATTTGTACCTTCATGTTTGGCCCCAAATTTTTAGTTAGAAAGGTAAGAGTGTAAGTAATTAATTATGTAAACTGCAATTTGATGTACTTCCAGCCATGCAGTTAATATCAGTTAAGGCTTCTGAAATGGAGCACACTGAATCAGCTGAACTCGTGTAGGTGTGACGCTGGAAAAAGAGAGACCCAGACAGGGTGTGTGTTTTGTCTGCTGTTTGGTCGTGCTTTATATGTTTACAGTATAAACCAAAATAAACACTGGGTTTGTTAAACCTCACTTTTGTTGCCAACTTGAGTGCAGTGTGGTAACTTTAACTGTAATTTCTGTTACTGCTCTGTAACAATACAAAAAGGGTAAAAGGGAGTGTAAATTAGTAGATACAGAAGTGATGTCTTGATTGTGATAGATTTATTTGCTAACTTACTTGATTTTAGTAGCTTTGTTCTGACTGCTGTGTTGCTGCAGACCAAGTTTCAGGCACAGTATGTTATGGTGTCACAGAGTAAGAATGCTGGGTCAGTGCTGTCCAGGTGAAAAAGGGGAGTCCACCCTACTGACTCCACTTAACCAAGCCCAGCGTCCCTGTAAGACTCTGTGAGAAGCTGGGGTTTTGTCTGCCCTCCAAGGCTGACTTAACTGCATATCAGCATGTTGTCTCTTCTGGTGGCCTCAGTTAACCACATGTCAGTCATTATATCACATGCCGTGCCAAGTGTTCTCCATCTCTCACAGTACCAGAGCCCACCTGAAGCATGCAGACTGATGTCAGAATGGCTAAGCAGGAGGGAACAGGTCCAGAGCCCACTTGTTCCCTCTTGGCTTTTGTAGTGTGGGACTACTTATACATCATCTGTTCTGATCTCACGTTTGATCGGTGTTTTCCTACTTTAATAGTGACTCTTACTAACTCATATGTTATGTTTGAAGTGTCAGCCAGAAAATATGAAATCTGTTTCTGGTCCAGCATTGTTGGCTGTGGAACTCTTGAGAGTGGATGAATGAAACCATGTGACTGACTGCATTGGGCCAGCGAATGAGTGGCAATGTGTGTAATTGTTACCACATGCATGGGAGGGAATGCTGCTCTAAGTTGATAATGTTGTCAGCACTTTGCAGTCATTTGAGACTCGTACAGGAATTTAACAGTAGACATGGGGCGGGCTGTACCCACATACATCATTTTTACAGCCATTCTTCTCTTGTCTGTCACTGCATGGCCCCATGAGGAGCTGCCACTGTGCTATGCCAAGGTAACAAAGTTGTAATGCTGCAGGCCCTACAAGATGAAATGAAGGCAAGGCGGAACAAGTTGGAACAACTGTGTGAAGCTGGACGCCAGATGATAAGCGACAAACATCCTCGCTCACCAGAGATTCAGTGCCGCATGAGCAGTTTGCAGGAACAGTGGAATACCCTGCAGGAGTTGGCAGCACTGCGCAGGAAGCAGCTGGAGGATGCTGCAGAGGCTTATCAGGTGGGTGGCCTGTATTACGAGACTCCATTGTTAGGAGGTATAAATTGTGTCGTCTGTGGCAAGTTACAGCAAAGGGATCAGCATGAGATAGATATTGGAGAGGTGTTCGGTGTCCGAAGGGTGGAAAATCAAGAGTAAATAACCAGAGAATCTTTTTTCTTAACAAATAAAGGTAAGATAAAGGTATCCTTGCAAAAGGCAGTGAAGGCCCATAGGGTTGTGAGACATCTAGGCTCCCACATTTTCTAGACACTGGGCTCACAGATGGCAGTAAGATTGTCAGCCTTACCCAAACTTCTTAAGAAATAGTTATAATATATCCAGTGATAGATACAGTTTCTGAAATGTTGTGTTCTTTAGAATACTGGACGATAGACAAAGTCCAAAAACAGTAATTCTGAGTAATTATAATCCATTAGCATTATCATGGGAGTTCCACTTCATTTCTTACTGCTATTGTAAAATTTATATTCTCACATTTTGGTCTGTGGTGTAGGTGGGGTGTGTGATATCTCTACTGCAAATAAAATGTTGTATATAGCTTATGGTTATGGCCACTAACACAACAGTGAAGCAGAATATCTACAGGTTAAGGCAAACACAGATGTTGATACATAGCATGTCCACAAAGTAAGTTTCCCACTCATCCCACAGCTAGCAAACCTTATATTGTGCGAAGCGACTGCACGTACGTGATAGAGCAATGACGTAGCATGGCGCATGCACAAACAGAATTTCCTGTGTTCCCACAGTAACACTGTTGCAGCTGTTGAAGATGGAGGCTCTTATTCCAACTCCCACCGACTGTAAAGTGCGGTCAGTGATAAAGTTTTTCAATGCACAGAGCATAGCGCCGATCGAAATTCATCGTCAGCTGTGCCGGGTCTATGGGCCTAATGTCATGAGCAAGCAGATGGTGCATCACTGGTGCAGACAATTTTCAGCAGGTCGACAAAGTTTGCATGATGACAAGCGCAGTGGGCGGCCATCCATCATTACAGACGACCTGGTGGAGCTTGTGCAGGAACGCATTATGGAGAATCGCCAGGTCACAATTGCGGAACTCAGCGGTCATGTCCCACAGATTTCTCGCTCCTTGTTGCAAGAAATTGTGCGCCAGGTGGGTGCCGAAGCAACTGACACCAGAACACAAAACAAAGCACATGGAGTCAGCATTGACCTTTCTGCAGCGGTACCATAATGACGGCGACGAGTTTCTGGACCGGATCATCACAGGTGATGAAATGTGGATTGCACACATTACCCCAGAAACCAAGCAGCAGTCAATGCATTGGCGTCACAGTGGATCTCCCTGTAAGACAAAATTCAAGCAGACGTCGGCGCGGAAAGTGATGTGCACGGTATTCTGGGACAGACGGGGCATTCTCCACATTGACTTCCTGACCAGAGGTGAGACGGTGAATGCTGAGCGTTACTGTGAAACACTGCAGAAATTGTGACGGGCCACTCAGAACAAGCGGCGCGGGATGCTTAGTGCCGGTATTGTCTTCCTGCACGATAACGCTAGGGCGCACACGGCTTGACAGACAGCCAGTCTCCTGCAGGAGTTCAGCTGGGAGCTGTTTAATCATCCACCCAACAGCCCAGACCTTGCTCCCAGTGATTTCCATGTTTTCCTACACCTCAAGAAATTCCTGTCTGGTGAGCGTCAGCGTTTTGGGAATGACAGGCGGAGATGGTTGTCACACAGTGGTTCCAATCCCAGGCAGCAGACTTCTATGACACAGGTATTCAAAAGTTGGTCCCACGGTATGACAGATGTCTCAGTTCCAGTGGCGATTACGATGAAAAATAGCTGAACACTTGCTGTATCTGTTGCAATAAATATTTCCCTGAAATTGTGTTTTGTTTCTGTAAATGGCCCCAGGGAAATTTACTTTGTGGACGAGCCTCGTATATTGATATACATTTAATATAAGCGTGGATTTATTGCTACACGTTTTGACGTGTGATTTAGCTCATCAGCCACCTTCCATATGATCTATAACCCAAGTTATTAAAGTTAATTTTCCCAATATGGATCCATTTTGTGCAATTGGTGTCTGTTGTGGGCAAATACTTATTTGTAGAGTGACAGTAAATCTACATTACGGTGTTATAATGAAGCTTATTACAGGTGGTTACAATTTAAAATTTAAATATAAATAATATTTGTTCCACAGTATATGTATTGTAGGAATTAAAGGTCTTAGCACCTTCATCAATTTTGATGTTCATGCTATAGACGTGCTGCATTAATCATCTGCTAACTAGTGTTCCTAGGCATTGTGGAGAATGCTGTGTGATTGTGTGGGGTTCTTCGTACTACCTTCTGCTTTCTGCTTTATAGATTTTTACTAAAACTAAGTGATTTTGTATTAGTAGTGTATAAATATGAGTTATAGTGCACTGTCTATTTTTAAAAGTGTTAAATGATAGAAAATTGAGAAGAAAGTTGGGGGAAGGAGAATATTTACCTAATTCTTGTGTGAGTGATGTGCTCATAATTTAGTGTTTTCTTCCTATTTTAATTTTGGATTAACATAGGAGACTTAGCTGTAATATCTGTTTTTGTCTTCACCCGAAGATATTCTGCTTCATTGTTGTGTTGATGGTCATAACCATCAGATATTATACACACAACAGGATGCAATCTATGACGTTTAGAAATGTGTATATTGTCACAGCTAAACATATGGAAAGTTGCAAATTGGACTGACAGTGAAAGTTCTGTCTCCAGGATGTAACAGTGCTTAATGCAGTAAATGTCATCTGACATTTTGGAGGAACATACCATATCTATGTTCAGGATTCCAGAATAAGAAAAATAATGAAATGGCATTAGGCATGCAGAAAGCAGAGCAAACCACATGCAAGTGGGGAACTTGCAAGCCAACCAGCCCTCTCCCGAGTAACTGGCCTGGGACCTGACATGAGGACCTGAGGTAGAAATTGTAAGTACATGTGTGTGTTGGGCAGGAAAATGGCATGCAGCAGAAGCAGCAGACATGGAGCTGGGAAGGGAATGAAAGGCTCCGGGTGGATGGGTGCCGCCCTCATATCTGTGGCCAACATACACACATACAAACTCTCCCTTGTGGTCCAGAGTCTTAAGTAGCACAAGTGGCCGTTTTCAAGGCCCAGCATAGTTAGTTAGATATTAGAGAGGGTGGGTTTCCCCATGCACTTAGACCTGTATTGGTCCATTGTGGTTCCCTCTATGATTTCTACCAGTCTCTATATCCTACCAGTACTGGTGCTTACCATCAGTCCCGCCCAGCCAGCGAGACTGGCTCTACTAGCTGAGAGGTATGTATAATGCTTCCCCCATCTACCAGAGGTATTAGAGACTGCTGTTGGGCGGGAAACGTCCGTAATTTGGCTCAGTGACCTCCTTTGGAGATATGAGGTTCTTCTACGTGCCGTAAAGCTACGACACGGGACTCACGGCTTAAAGTCCCTCCCGGAGGACTTGTTCCCTGCATTTTTCCGCCCTTAAAAATTCGATGACCTCCGCCGGGTTTTTGAACCCACGTACTACGAGTCATGAGATGGGAACATTACCTCTAGACTACGGAGGCCACTGCCCAGCCTAGTTACTCTTCTTTGTGTCCCATTGGTTCATTCTGTTTGTCAGAGGGAGCCAATTTGGTTGGCTTGCAAGCTCCCTCCTAGGCTACGTAATCATCTTCACATGCAGTTTTCTGTGGTTGCTGTCTACTTGGTGGTTTGAAGATGGAAGTGACATGTTCCCCTGAAACTTTGGTTGATTAGATCAGTGGTTCTCAACCTTTATGAGACCGCGGCCCAGTAAGTTCTTCTTTTATAAGACGAGAGGCCAGTCCCAACATATTTACTCACAAATACCTATCCAGTTTTGTTAAAGTTCATGCATTAAGCCAACGTAATATTAGTAATTAATTATAGCATAATCATAAAGAGTATTAGCACACTTATGTATACGGTGTGGCGTGATGACAAAAATAAAATTACATTTAAATTAGTTATCAATCACTGGACTAATGAAATCTTGCAGCATTTTGTAGTTTCCTCAGACCAACATCATTAAATTAATGTGTGCTAATTTTCATTGACATATCCCATGCTGATCACCAAAAACTTATGTTATTCGGCGTAAAATTGATTATTGTATTATTAAATTGATTTTAACAATGTTGGTTTGAAAAAAAAAATGGCAGTGAGAAAAATATTTATGCATTGTAACTCACCACAGAAGTCAGCTGAGTAGGGGAAGAAGCAGAAGGATGTCAACTTGCGAAGAAACAGTATTCAGTATTACTAGATTTGAGAACCAGATACAGACTGCCTTGATCTTCAGTTTCAGTGTAAACATTTTCTTTATACTTCCTTGCTGATTGGTCACTGACATTTGCAACCCAAATGTTATTTCGCTCAGATCTGAGAAGAGAAGATATGCCGCCCATTGTTGTAATGGGCTTGCAGGCAATTTTTATGACTGGTCATAAACATCGGTATTGCCTTTCCTGAATGTTGGAAGATTTGGATGTCTGAAAATTCCTGATCATTCACGAATACTTCCATGTTTAAAAATATGCGGCTTGGTCACTGACATTTGCTACACAGATTTAGGCGTTCTGTGTCTGAGCTTCTCGACACAAATATTATGCTCCTCAGAATATTTCCACTATAAAATATGTATTCATGAGAAATGCTTAGAAAATGAAAATGACAAATTCCAGAAAAGCCTGTCGTGGCCCAGTATAATTGATGCCAGGGCCCACTACTGGGCCGCGGCCCGGCGGTTGAGAAGCACTGGACTAGATGAAATGATATTACATTGCAGAAGACAAAAACTCTTCATAGCACTGCTGTGTGAATCTCAGGTTAACTGTGTTTGACTTCACACATTGCAGACTACACTAGGCTGTTTTGTGGGATATTTTGTCTCACTTATGTGGAAAGGGCACATACGGGGTTCATGGTTTTGTCTCTTTAGGCTAATGCTATGACATGGCTAC